CCGGTTCCCTTTATTGAGCAATGGTAATTTTCAGACCAATTAAACTGTGCCGGTACAGAAAGCAGACTGGATGCCTGCACTCATGGATGGATAGGCTACCCCAGTTCAACGTACTGCTCGGCAACCTCGGCCGTGGACGCCGGGGTCGCCTGTGAAGCACGTGAGTATGCAGTAGTGCCCATCACCAGGGATAATTAGGCCACTGCCTGATCAACGTCATATTAAAAAATGCATTCTTGCATGGCTATCATAACGGATTGTGGAAAGATATTCACTGTGAAAAAAACCAGTCACCTCCATAACAGACCACCCCCATCCCCCATCCAACCCCCCAAGTTACTCACTCTAATAATCTAGGTCAGGACCAATTGAGATGAGGGGCGGTTGTTCATGCCGTTCTTATGTCTTAGTTTAAAAGATGAGTACCAAATACATGTACATAACACTCCCAAAAGGCATTGGAATTAAAGATTTTGTTGTCCTTACCTTTCTAGCCGACGATGGACAACTTCGTCTGGTGGACGGCAACGGCTACAACAGTGGCCGTGTGGAGATAAAGTTTGCAGGAGGCTGGAGGCGCATTTGTGACTATGGATGGGGAAGCAACGACGCCGCAGTTGTCTGCAGACAGTTGGGGTATAGCGGATACGTTAGTAGTGCAAGAGGTAAGGCATGATAGTTTTTAGCTAAAAGAAATAGAAAGACATAGAAAGCGAAAATTTAATTATAATGTCCTGTAACGTACGAACTATAAGCATGAGGTTTTTACAGATAAATATTTTACAAGTGGAATATTTACCTGTACAGACCCGTAGCCAAGGGGGGTTCGAGGGGTTTTTTGCTGGGAAAAGGTCCACTCTGGATAAAAATTGATCTAGGTACATAAAGGTTTTATGGTAAAAGGTCCACTTTTTCATAAAACGAACCCCCCATTTGAAATTGCTGGCTACGGGCCTGCTGTAAATAAAATAATTAAGAAATCACAATTCGAAATTGATCTCTTGGGCAGCAGAATACTGTTAAATGCTTAAAACATGCTCTTTATTCAAATTTCTAGTCGTACATGTAAATTTGATATGCTTTTTTTCCCTACTATTGTGCAAAGCACCAAAATTAAGCATCCATATATAAATAATGTAACAAAATTGTGGTGTTAAATTATGTTGTAGTAGCATTTTTATTCTACTTGAAACACTACTATCATGGAGGCCATTCACATTAGAACGTTAACCGCGGTCGAGTTTACTCCGATCCCTGCTCCGATTAAACTGCGGTCCACCAAACCGCGTCCAAACTGCGTTCACGCTGACACCGGCAGCGATCAGTAGCGGTATAATCTCAGCAAGCGTACTTCCTGTCAAGCATGCGCTCTTACTAGAACCTGTGCAACATGCCGGGAGCTCTTATGACGATACACTTGTGCGCGTGCGCTTCATATGTAGACATCCGGTCTTGACCGCGATCAGGTGTTTACTCCGATTATACCCCCCTCTCGATCTGGGTTTATTTCGACCGCGGTCAGGGCTACGTCGTCCGTTCACATTAGAAAAGTTAACCGCGATAGGACCGAGGCCAGGCCTTGACCGCGCTTAAAAGTGCTAGTGTGAATGGGGTAATATGACATTTCCTCGGAGTTGGTGACAATAACTTGGTATAAGGACTAGCTCAGTATGTATCGTTATTCTGAGTGTGTTTTGTTAACAAAGTATTTTTGACAAGCGGAAAAAATAATCACAGTATTCAGCCTTTTATTTCAATATGGATGATATAAAACATTACAGGACTCTAAAGTTTGGGAACGCGTGGTAAACATAAAACAGACCACCTTTTAAGTGTGCAAATGTTACTTTTTGAGAACACTTAAAACAGAGTTCTGGCGCTAGAACATGAAGCGTTGTGAAATATAAAACATATTATTATGTTAATTTTGTGTTTTGTTTAGAACGCATTTACGTGTAAATGCAGAACACTTTTTGTTCAGATGTTACTTTTAGAGAACACCAAAATGTTTTCTAAAAGGAATTTAGAACACTTGGCATTCTGAAAGAAATCTAGAGCACTTACCCTAGGTTCTAGATTCCGGTATTGCCAGCTCAATCTTGATTTCATATATAACCCATATTAGCAATACCAGGCTCTAGCGAACAGCGGCAACTCGGGGGCGTTCTTCTTCAAAATTCTGCCTGGGGCGCTTCCATATTTGGAAGTCACAAGTCACAGCTGTGTCCGCCTGGATCCATATTTGGAAGTCATAAGTCTCGTACGTCACAGGTTTGACCGCCTGGAGCTGCCTTTCCCGCCTTGCGCTGAAGTTATCTCGTGCACACGAGACAAGAAGCAATTAAAGTGCCTGACGCGGAGTTAGAAGTTTGAATTGAAAATATCTTGCAGTCGAAGGTCAGTGCCACAATACAAGCAACATTCTGCTGTAAAAACTGATTTTCGTGTAGCCATTGCGCAGCCCTTATAGTGGTATCGGGCATACAGTGTAGCTGTCAAATTTGGCACACGGCAAGCACGTGTATTGTGCACGCGTGTATCTCAGGACTAAATGTTCTTTGATAAGCAAAAAATACAAAAAACATTGGATATATCTTTTCTTTTCGAAGAATATTATTCATTTTTTCATTAATTCTTTAAATACAGTAAATAAAATTAAATAAAGCAGAATTAAATTTGTTTTACGTTTCATTTTAGTCTAATGACATTCAACTGCAGTTTCACTGCGGAGCAGTTCTATTTGATTGACGGAAGCATAAAATGGCCGCTGGTCTTAAGAGCTAGTAATAATGACTCCAAGGTATATTTAATATTTACAAGCTAATTTTTACGTTGCTCTGACACTCAGGGTAAGAGCACTTGGTGTTCTTCAATAAAGTGCATTTATTTGCAAGAGAACAAAATTACAATAAAAAAGATTACACACTTCAATGTTCTTCACATCAGTTGTCTCTCTTCTTAAGTCATATGAAACCGCCAAATGTGTTAATTATACAATATCAACAAAATGATTACTAAATCATCGTTCTGAATACAAGTTTTAAACAAAGCTCAAAATTCATATATCGATAATAACATGCGCATCAGCTTGATTTGCCTAAAACGTATCACCAACGATCAGATTATTGACACATAGTGCCAAACTTCTAGGCTAAAAATATCTGTAAAAATGCGCATCAACCCAAGCAAGACAGGATTTTTTTTTATATGTATAAAGCCTTACACGCCAAACATTATGGTGGTTAAACATGTGACCAAGGTGGATCAAACCATGGAACCAGACAGAGATACACTGTACAACAGTTGATGACGGTTGTCATACATGTACTTCCATTTCTGTGATAAGCATAAGTGTAGTGTCTTTTATCTCCAGTAAAACGTCTTCATCATCAACAACAGTCCCATCCTGCTCCAGGACTACGCTTATGTCCTGAGGCCTTGCAACAACTCCCTTTTCTATGCCTGAAAACTTGTGAAGATTAAAAAAAAAAAGTACGTTTGTAAATGGCAGCAAGTAGGCTCTCACCTTTTGTTATAAATTAAAGCATCAGTACTGTAAAGGATTGTTATTGTGTCCACTGAAAATTGTTAAGGTTTGAAAAACCAACATCTTGAACGAAAATCTTCGGAGGCCAGGGCTCTCACCAGACGTTTAAAAATAGCAGCGTCTCCTTTTATTTGGAGTTTTTTTCAAGACATTTTATGGGAAAGGGAGTAATTTTTAACCCCTTTCATATATGTCTTGTCTAAATTTTGTAATTGAATGCAACTTTGCTAACAAACACACACACACACACACACACACACACACACACACACACGAATGCAATATTGCATGTGATTGACACATGCAATGGATGTATGTTTCCAAACTAAGTTAAAGCATATTATCAATATTTTCGGTATTCATTGATTAAACGCACTGATTTCCAAAATTTACTAATTTATTTGTCTCAAAATTACAGTCATGTATAATGTAACGTAAACACATTCCTTTGTTACCTGTAGGCGCGATGTGGCGCTAACGTCACACGAGTATTTTTTGTGCGACATTTTGCATTGACAGTTTGTAGTCAGAGTCTTCTTTTGTATTTTGATCTGTTTGCGCCCCTGACAAGGCCTCCGGACCGAAACCGTTGTAAGGACTTATATCAATAAAAATGGAGAGAACAGATTAACTTTGTTCGTTTTCTTGTCTTTCTTTATATATGTGTGTGTGTGTGTGTGTGTGTGTGTGTGCCAAGTCCAGAGATTATATCTCTCTCGATATCGGGCCCATGCCAATCTTCTGCTTGTATCTGTTGGTCAATGGCGGCTTTTTACGGTGTCTTCTAGATGGAAGTCCAGCTTCTAAAAGATGCCTGTTGACTGTTTACCTTATAAACCCAGGCCAGATGTTTCTCAGTTGCTTGGCCACAATGAACCGGTTCTGGCTGCATAGTCCGACCAGATGCCTTCTATCTCTTTCGCCGATTGATCCCCGGTCTACCAGAACGTAGCGTGTCCTGGACACCTGACTTGATGCCACTCTGTGTTGCTTTGCAATTTGTCTTATAGGCAGCCCAGCACATTGGCTACTTATCATTTTCCATCTGATTCCCCTCGTTGAGTCTTCTTCTAACCATTCGTCGTTACAATATTACAAAATGTACCCATAAAACGAGCCAAATTGGACGCTCCACATGGCACGGCCAAACTGTAATTAGCACATGTAGTTCAAAGTAAGAACAACATACATGTATATATATATTCGTTACTTCACAAATGGCAATCTTCAGAAACGATTGCCTTTTTATTGTGTCAAAATGTTTGTTTATGTAGGTTGGAGCCCCAGGGGTAGTGGAATTTTTTGGCTGGACTATGTTGGCTGCTATGGAACAGAGAGCAACCTTACAGACTGCTCACACAGAGGGATAGGGGTATACAGCACCTATTACTGCGGCTTAAGCAGTTACGATGACGCTGGCGTTTACTGCCAGGGATACTTACGTACGTGTGTCTTACTGACTGCCAGTCAGAAGGTCCGAATTAATCTGACTCGGCCTGTTTTAGAATCTTTTTTGGTTGTAGCCGGTATAGCCTAGGGCTGTTCATCTGTATCGTTTTTCTTTTTTTTTATTATCGTTTTTATCTCGTTATTACTGATATTTATTTTGTATTTTAAAAGTACGAGGCTTCTTTTATTCTCAAAAAAATTAATAGAAGTTGGAAGGAGTGCGACACCAGATTTTAGCTTAAAATATTGTTTCACTTTGCATGCATAACGTAGACCTCACAAAGGGAGGTACAGTATAAGTAAAGCCTCCATTTACATTGGACGGCGACCTTTCTGCGGCTCTTATATATATATATATATATATATATATATATATATATATATATATATAATTATTTTTCTCTCAACCAGCGGGTGTTACTCCCCCAAGTACAAGCACCACCACACCGACCACAACAACCACCGTTGCCGTAAGTATTATTGACTGGTTTTATAGTTTTTTCTTTTTTTTTTCACTCAGGATCATTTTCATTTGCTGTTTGGAAGACAGAATCATGTTCCGTCTGCAAACAAGAAAAGCCTCGTTTCTTTAAGCAAGTAGCTGTTTTGTCCGGTAAAGCCCTTGTTTATGGTTTGAGTTATTGATGGACTTCAATTTATTATTGCATT